CTTGGAAAGGAATTTTAAAGGCAAGGAATTGGCTAATCAAACATATTTCTTACGCAATCTCAACTGGAAATAATACTAATATGTGGTACGATCCTTGGGTGAACGGGAAAAGTATATTTCAATTATATGGCGATAGAATACGAAAAGAACTTGGGGCTCCCAAAGATTGGAAGGTTTCCGAGTTCATTGCTAACGGTACCTGGTGTCTCCCTAATCCTATTTCTCCCGAAATGTTATCACTTTGGCCGACTATTATAGCTATTCCAATCAGGAACAACTCTTCAGATATACTTATTTGGCCTCATGACAATGGCAAATTTAGTGCCACATCCGCATGAAATTAAATTAGGCAAAGAAATAACAAGTGGGTCCCAAGCAGTTGGACATGGGATCGACAGGGATCACAAAGACATTCCTTATGTACATGGCAGGCCCTTCTCAATAAACTACCTACAATAGACAATATGAAAAGAAGAGGTATCCATCATGTTAATAGATGCTCCCTTTGTATGCAACAAGAAGAAACTGTTGTCCACCTCTATTTTGCTTGTGATTATACAAAATGGATATGGAAGGAGATTCTCCAGCGATTTGAAGTCAATAGACTGCCACAATCAAACTTGCACCAAGAACTAGGCGACCTCATGCAATGTTTATCAAGAAAAGGGCCTCTCACACAACTGGCAAAGGTTACTTTCAGATGCGCTATTTGGTGGATGTGGAAGGAGAGATGCAACAGAATCTTTGAATGTCAACACACAAACAATGCTCAGCTCTTGAAAGAGATTATTAGAGACTCAAGATCCTGTAAGGAGCAAGATCTCAAAACGGAGCCCTTTATCGAAAGAGAAAAAAATATTTTTACCAAATTTAATTTTGCTATTAGCTATAGATCTTGGGAATGATGCCAAATTATGTACCCACAGGTAGTTTTGATATATCTGGATAAACATTTTCTATGTTGACTATAATTAGGAGTTATAGTCTACAGCATGTGTAGTCATAACTATCGCATTCGCACTCTATGAGTTACTTGGCTTTGTCTATGACTTGTATAGATAAAGCTATTTGTAGAAACTTTACACATAATCAATTTACTTTTACTTACCAAAAAAAAAAAGCGTAAAACTCCTTGTCATATGTTGGGTAGTTAAGACTTGCTCTACTTAGCTTCTCACTAAAGAATGCAATGGGTCTGCCTTCTTGCATTAAGACTCCTCCAATTCCTATTTCACTCGCATCACACTCAATCTCAAAAGTTTTAGCAAAGTTCGGTAAAGCAAACAAAGGTGCTGAACAGAGTTTATCTTTAAGCAAGTTAAAAGCATCATCTTGTTTTTCACCCCATCTAAATCCCATATTCTTTTTTATGCATTCAGTTAATGGTGTAGCAATTGTAGAAAAATCCTTAATGAATCTTCTATAAAAGCTAGCAAGACCATGAAAACTTCTAACATCACTAACACTAGTAGGTTTTGGCCACTCCCATATTACTTTCACTTTTTCTTGATCAACATAGATTCCTTTATCATTAACAACATATCCAAGAAAAGTAATTTTATTAGTGCAAAAAGTGTATTTCTTTATATTAGCATATAACTTTTCTTTTCTAAGCACGTCAAAAATAGCTTTTAAATGTGTTACATGCTCATCTAAACTTTTGCGATACACAAGTATATCATCAAAATAAACCACTACAAATTTTTCAATGTAAGCACGAAAAATATGATTCATCAATCTAATGAAAGTACTAGGTGCATTAGTTAGGCCAAAAAGCATAACCAACCATTCATATAAACCATGTTTAGTTTTGAAAGCGGTTTTTCATTTATCACCTTCATGCATTCTTATTTGATGATATCCAGATTTTAAATCAATTTTTGAAAACACACAAGAACCATACAATTCATCCAACATATCATCTAGCCTAGGAATAGGATGTCTATACTTTACCGTGATTTTGTTGATGGCTCGGCAATCAACACATATTTTCCATGATCCATCCTTTTTAGGCACCAATAGAACAGGAACTGCACATGGACTCATGCTTTCTCGCACATACCCCTTTTTCATAAGCTCACTTACTTGTTTTTGGATTTCCTTTGTCTCTACGGGATTGCATCTATATGCTGGCTTATTTAGTATGCTTGCACCTGGAATGAAATCAATTTGATGCTCAATTCCTCTAATTGGTGGCAAACCATTAGGAACTTCTTCGGGAAAGAGATCCTCATTTTCCTGCAAAAGATCAACAATAACACTAGGCAAACTCTTGTCAATTTTGTTAGAAGCAATCAGAACATCCTTGTACATAAATACTCTCATTTTTATCACTCAACTCACTATTTTCTTTTTTCTCTCTTTCTTTTTCCCTCCCCAAAGTTTTGGTTAATGAAGACTCAAGCTCCTCATATTGTTGTTTTATGCGCATTTGGTCATCAAAAATTGTCTTTGGAGGCAAAGGTCCAAGCTGATATTTCTGTCCATCTATGATCAAAGAATAACGGTTCTTGAATCCATCATGTATTACCCTTCGATCATATTGCCATGGTCTCCCCAATAACATATGAATAGCATACATAGGTACCACATCACACCAAACTTCATCCTTATATCTACCAATTGAAAAGGAAATTAACACTTGTCGATTTACCTTTACTACACCACTATCATTCAACCATTGTAACTTGTAAGGTTTTGAATGCTTGATAGTAGGTAATTTTAGTTTCTCCACGAGCAAGGTGCTTGCCACATTTGTGCAACTTCCACTATCAACAATCACATTACACAACTTGTTAGCAATCAAACAATGAGTATGAAACAGATTTTCACGTTGTTCACCATGTTCATCATTTTCATTTTGCAAACTAAGTATGCGTTGAACAACTATATTTTCACCTTTAGCATACTCTACATCGCTAGTATCCTCTAGAATGTCTTCATCATCCTCTTTCTCACTTTCAGATTCTACAATTCCATCCCTCATGATCAAAACTCTTTTATTAGGACATTCGCGTGCCACATGTCCATGCCTAAGGCACTTAAAACACTTAATACCTCTAGTTTGATTAGGTAGATTCTCACCTTTACCCTTGCTGCCTAATTCATTTCTACCTTTAGTCTCATCAATTTTAGGCTTAACAATGGGTTTATCATCCTTTTTACTCGAATTCGGTTTCCAAGAAGAAGAACCCGAATAAGGTTTTGAATCATACCTTGCACCTTTTCTTTTAAGTTGCCTCTCAATCTTCATGGCCACATTCACCATGTCTTCAATCTCCACATAATGTTGCAATTCTACAAGATTAGCAATGTTCTTGTTTAATCCACTCAGGAATCGAGCCATGGTGGCCTCACGATCTTCATCCACATTAGCCCTTATCATGGTTATCTCCATCTCTTTGTGATACTCATCAACACTCATGGAATCTTGGGTCAAGGTTTGCAGCCGTTGATGCAAATCCCTATAGTAATAGCTAGGGACAAATCTCCTCCTCATGATTTGTTTAATCTCCAACAAAGTCTCCACGGGCCTTTCACCATTTTTTCCCCTGTCTTTACACAATTGATCCCACCAAACAATAGTATAATCAAAAAATTCAACAGCGGCTAATTTTACCTTTTTCTCTTCAGAGTAGTTATGACATTCAAAGATCATCTCCACTTTTCGTTCCCACTCCAAATAGGCATCTGGATTATTCTTCCCTTGAAAAGAAGGAATTTTCATTTTGATGCCGCCTATGTGTTAGGACTCTAGCTAGGAGAGTCCTAATTGAGAGGGACATTCATGTAGGAGGTTTTTTCTTAGTGCCGTGGCGTACAGACTTAAATTACCTAAGGATGTCAAAATTCACCATGTCTTCCACGTATCATGCCTAAAGCCCAAGTTGGGAGAACACGAGTCACCCCAGTTCCAACTGCCCAACACAACTGAGGATGGAGTTATTCAAGCCCAACCACAAGCCATCCTCGATCGTAGGATCGTGATGTGTCGCCAACATCCCTCTACTGAAGTACTAGTGCATTGGAATAATCTACCACTTGAAGACGCCACATGGGAACCATATGAGGAGCTGAAGACCCGGTTCCCTGAGTTCATAGAATCTCAGCCTTGAGGATAAGGCTGATTTGAAGAGGGCGGGTCTGTCAGGACTCTAGCTAGGAGAGTCCTAATTGAGAGGGACATTCTGTTAGGACTCTAGCTAGGAGAGTCCTAATTGAGAGGGACATTCATGTATGAGGTTTTTTCTTAGAGAAGAATTAGGAGTTGTAAGGGAATAGAAGTCTTGAGTAGGAGTCCTATTAGGAGTTGGTTAGAAGTAAGAGTCTTAAGTAGGAGTCCTATTAGGAGTTAGGGTTTAGAAGCCCTATAAATAGCCATGTATTCCTTCTCTTTTCTTAGGCAATAGATGAATCTTTTCTGTACCCTTTGAGCAGCAACTTGGAGGGAGGAACCCCTATAGAGTTCCAAGGAGGCCGATCCCCTAAAGAGATCAACCCCAAGTTTAGAATCTGCAAGGGTTCTACCACTATGTTTCTATCCACACCATCAAAACGTCCTCTCCTAGCTTGTCTCCTAGGATTAATATCTTGACCAATTAGAGTAACTTGGTCATCATCCACGTCATCGCCACCATCATATTCATCATTGACAAAGGTTGGTTGTCTCCCACGTCGTGGTCCACCTTGCAATCTATTAATTGCATCATCATGCCTTTCTAGATGATCTCATACATCTCTCATCACTTTGAACATACATTCAAATTGTTGCTGCATTGCTTGAACTAAAAGATCATTGGATGAAGAACTCGCTTCTTTATCTTTAGACATGTATACAACCTGAAAAACAAAGTTAGAACAACCTCACCAACACTCCCTCACGTTTTTTTTTTTTTCACTCTAAATTTGATTCACTCCACTCAAGTTTCACACAATTTTTTTTGGCTTTTCTCTATGCTGATCTTACCACTCTTGCCTTTTACCTCTCTTGTTTTGTTATTTGAGTTCTTAGATTAACTAAGGTACCTAAACAAACAATTCAGATTATGGCAATTAAAAAAAAAATAGTGCAATTGGACAGCTTCAAAAGCAAACAAAAGATAGGCCAATTTAAAGGTGTGTGTAATGCACTTTAATCATAAGCAAAGACTAGAGTTTTTTTTTTTTAGGAATGAAGAAAGATTTTCCAAATTGAAATAGAAATTCAAATGAACAAAGATCAAATTCTGTAACTTGCAAGTATTCTTTGAATTCGTAAATTTTTTTTTTCTAATTCTGATCTCTTTTTTTTTTTTGACCTTTGATTTTCACTTTTTTTTTTTAGCCTTTGATTTTCTCTCTTTTTTTTTTTTACTTTTTGATCTTTTTTTTTATACCATAAAGTGCAGAATTATAAATAAGAATAGTAATAACGCAAGAAGCACAACAATGAAGATGAAAGAAGAACAATAATTATAGATATTGGCCAAAAAGAAGAAGAAGAGAAAAGAAAAAAAA